GGTCATTTTAAATTATTATATTAAGAACAATACATTTTAGATGTAAAATACAAATTATTTTTCTGACTGTCAGCTGATATTAGGTTTTATGTAATGATTGGAACAAGTATAGTTAGTACATAACCTTTTGAACCCAAGTGCAATTGATCTAACCCAGCGGAATCTCTAGATTGTTTTAAAACTATAATACCTCAATAAATGTAGTGTCAAAACTAATGCTATATTCTCGGAATAGTTGTGTATTTGTGAATCCAAGTGGAAAGAACGTGATATCTGTAGACTTAGGTGAATTCTAGGTTCAAGAGCTAATCGTTTTATGGTAACCATATACCGTCATATTATTTATTAGTAAAATAAGTCAACACTTTGAAACACAGCAGAGGTTATGGGTTTTTTCTGATAGAGATATTTGTTTGATAATTATGGTGTTTAATAGAATTGTAATTTATCTACTTAATATGAATGCTTTTAAAAATACTTTTTTCGTATAATTAAAAGTCATTTCAATATATTTAAATTGAATTTTGAAGGGATAAAAAGGGTCTCGGCATAATATGCATTTTGATTTTGGTAGGCCCAGATAAAATAGATGCATTCCTATCGGGCAGTACCTATTCACTATATCACAGAGGTATTCAAACTTTTTCAGCACGTGGCTTCTTTGGGTGGTCACAATATTTTTACGGCTCCCAAATTATTATGAAAAAATTGAAACAGCACACGGATACAATATGGGAAATATGCTATATGGGTGATAATAACAGTGACTAGAAATAAGACTTCAAATGGTCGAATCGTAAAGTGTGTCGTTTTCATTTCCATAATGATTGCAAATAATATTTTTAATAAYTATACAAGACCTAGGTATGATGTTGGTTTTCGGTGCTTTGATGTGGCTCCCTTTGCAAACTCTCGCGACGCCCCTGGGAGCCGCGACGCTCAGTTCGAATACCTCTGCTACCTATATCATATATGGGCGGTGGTATAAACTCTCCCGATTTTTTAAAATAGTTAACTCTCACGGATCAATATTATGTTTACCTGAAGTAAATATGTAAACTCTCCCGGGTCAAAATTATGTTTACCTAAAGTAAATGTGTAAACTCTCCCGACTCCCGGATTAACTTTATAGTTACCAGTAGGAAGTATGTAAACTCTCCCGAGTTGTTTTAAATGTTAAAACATTTTTTTAGAAAAAAAAAAATAGATTCCTTAACTTTTTTCGAAATCTGTATGTTCTTATTATCAAAAATAATAATCTTAATATTTGTACGTATATTTTGTCTTTATAACTTATATCATTATTATTGTTATTATTGACTATTTTTAAAAGAAACTTAAATGTATATTAGATTTTTTGAAATTTTATTTTTTATTGTATATTGACTATAGTATTATAGCTCATAGCAGCTATAAAGACATTAATTTATATTGTTATTATTATTGTTGTTATTATATATGATTGACTATTTTTAAACGCAACTTAAATGCATATTAATTTTATTTTATGATTTGTACTAGACCCGAGAGAGTTTACACGTTTCCGTCAGGTAGTACTGGAGTAGACCCGGGAGAGTATATAAGTACAATCGCCCTCATATATAGCCATTATTAATGTCACAATAAGACTTAAGGGTATATTTCAAAGTTCAAATAATCGGAGTGAAATGGCATAGAAGTTTAAAATCCTTTAAAAGGTTTGAAGTTCTCAGGAAATATTCTACTGTTGGATATGTAATAAAAAAAAAGACTTTATCATTCAAAAAAGTAACTGAATTATTTTCATGATAACTTTTTTAAATTAATGAGTGATTCCTGTAAAAGATACGCTCAATATAAATATTACATTATAATTATTATCATGGCTAGTTTAGTGTTCAACAATCGGATCAGTCCCATGCTAAAGTGATTCGTAAAGATCACCGAAAATCCGATCAATAAAGTCTAACAAGAAATAACGAAGTTCTGCAAGAATTTTTTCACAGCGAAAATATTAAGAGAGAGTACACATCCATAAACTGCAGTGATCGATTATTATTATTTATTTCATTCGAATTTTGGTTGATATAACGCAACCAAAATCTCGACGTTAGAGGAAGTCCATTCTTCGTTTTATGTGCCAAACATTGCGAAATGTTCTCCATAGTTGTGCTATAATCTTTGTTATATTATCATAAAAATATATGAACATTGTTGAACTCAATAAATATATAGATTAAAATACATTCAATCTACTTAATATAAACGTGGATTGCTTAAAGATATATTTGGTTAATAGTAGGTATTATTATAAAATAGCTATTAAATTATCTTTACTTAAATATGTGTATATATTCTAATTATTAATGTATATATGAAATCATTAAAACTAAAAATTTAATTTTTAATTTTAACTTAGGTAATGGATTATTATTTCTAAATCAAATGAAAAAAATCTCAGTAAAGGTTTATCAATAGTCAATAAAACCAGTTAAGTAAGAAAAATAAATAACATTAACATTTATTAACAAGTTGATTGCTCAAATTTGATCATGACGTGTAATCTGTATTGTTCACGGCTAAACTAGAATCTATAGGTAGTGGGAAAACGATGAAGTATAATGTGTCGCAGCCTCCTCCTTGGGTATAAATATACGACCACGCGATGTAGGTACGTGCGAATATTCGCGTGCCGCAAAACCATAATGTATAATATTAAAATACTCTAAACAATAATGGTAGTGTGTAAATTACATGCAATACACCTATACATTTTAATGTAATACATATAGCCACTTGGTTTTTTTAATGAGAAATTTGAGCCGTGTAACCTGACTCTTGGGCGGCGGCGACGGTAGTCAAAACAATATTAAATACGCACGCACACTAAAACGATTGGCGTGTATAATGTGTATGCATACTACGAAAGTATATTCTTATATATTTTATTATATATATGTGCAAATACAACATAAGTATACAAATTACATTATAGGTTATATGTCACCGGAAATGTATAACGCAGTTAAGCAATATATTATTAAAGGTATAGGTATAAATAAATACAAATGAACCCATCGAATCGTTCAATACGGTACGGTTGTATATATTAAATATTATCTATACCTGATGGCCAATGGGTAAAATAATGAACGAATAGCATCGTTTATTTTAAACAAACGAAATGTATATGGCCAACTACTGAGTAACAATAGTAAAAATGTCTTGCGAAAACCAATAACAGGTACAATATTGCTCACTCTTAAAATACAACATTCGCGATTTCAAACATAATATTATTAGGTATAACGTTTAACGGGCACGTTTAATGATATACAAAGACATTTGAAAACAAAATATTAATATACCTAATTTTATGAAATGCATATATTTAGTTATCGTGATATTAATAATATAATAATATATACCTACATACATATACAGAACTATTGCAAAATTCAGAACCTATAGTTCAGTATATTTATTATGCTTAAAGTTTAAATACACCAATCATATCATATTACCGATTATATATCTGTAAGCTGTAGATACATAAATTATTTTTATGTAATGTAAGCACAGAAACGAAATAATTATAAATGTCTAAAAAATAAAAAGGTATAAGAAGCTGCAGTTTATTATGTAAGTTTATAAAATTGATAGATTTTCTTATTCCAACTTTTTTCGGATGATTTTTAGTCATGAAAAATTACCTATAAAATTATGTTCTATTTAATGTGAAAATCCAGAAAAACCAGGAGAGGAACATAATACATCATACACATCTCATACAGATACGTTAATTATATGTTTATTTGTTCCTAATGAAATTAATAAAACCTACCTATTTCTACATTTAAACATGACTTAAATAGTTAAATGTCTTGCTTGTTGCTTCATCCAAAAATCTATGATATACTAATACTATAACATAGATAATAAAGGTGATCGATAAACATTTGTTAATAGTTCAACTATAGATTTCTACATTTTGATTAAATATACTACATTTAAATTATAATATTTATAAGTTAAAATATTTTKGTTTATTGTTTGTTAAATTATATTCAATGTTTGTAATGAATATTCCATGATGAAATATCAATTCTTATAAGTTGCAATAATTTATATTGTATACAAAGTTTCAAAATAAAATAGATTCTATTGCAACTATTTTTGAGTTATTTGATATTATTTAAGAGTAAATCTACTTAAATTATTAAAGTAACTTACGTTCACACTTTCAATCATATAAAATTTTCCCAACTTTTCATAATGTTTTCAACATTTTAGTCACCATAATATTCTTAAAAATTATTATTAATTTTAAAATGAGGTCTACTAATAATATGAAAAAAATAAAGTATTTAATTTAAAAAAAAATAGAATATACCTTATACATATATAATTTTTATACTATAAAAATTTAATTAAAAAATGCTGCTGTGCTGTACAGTAGTTTGCAAGTGGGTCACTTTAATGATATAATATCAGTGTACTTAAAAAACTATTAGGAATGGAGAGGGCCTATAATATAATTATAAAAATATTTATAAAAAATCGTTATCCTTAGATAATAAATTCGTTTACGATGGTTTTACATCATTGAGTTAAAATTTAACAAAATTTACAGTGATCCACACACCATTGAATTATAAAATCGAGATTTAATCGAGATTAAATGAATTAAAAACGCTATATAATGCATTAATGCTAATAACTGCGAAACATGCTTTACTTTTATTTACATACAATTGTACCCTACCTGTGCATTATGTTATTTCGAATAAGAAATTTCCATTATGGTTTTAATATGAGAATATTATATATACATTGATAATTAAAAGCATATAGGTATATAGATTACTATAAAATTGTCAATAATCTTAAAGCATGGTATAACACCATCATAGAGGCCCTGTGGACTTTATTATAGTGATTGGCGCGATATCTCATGACTTTTAACTGTGCATAAACAATGAGATAATATTGATAATAACAATTATCGGTTTTGTTTGCAGAATTACATGACCGACTCTCACAAATGTTGTTGGAACCACAGCAGCAGCACGGTGGTGTTAACGAAGGAGGAAACGAGCGTCATCGTCGCCATGGGCGACACCACCACGATGAGCACATGAGTGACGGCGCTGGCGGTGGTGATGATCATCAGCAACAACATCAAATGCTATTACTGCACCAACACCATCTGAACCAGCAACACTCACAGCACCAACAACATCACCCGCACCCGCAAGGTCATCAGTCACAGTTGCTTCAACAGTTGCCACAACACCAACAACAGCATCAAGACAACGAACTGCAACAGCAACAACAAATGCAGCAGCAACGCCAACACGAACAGTTGGACGGCCACCATCATCAACACCACCAACTACATCACGACCAACAGTTGCACGATCTCCACCACCAAAACTTACAACACCAGCAAAACCTACAACAGCACCAGCAAAGCCTACAACAACAACAACAGCAGCAGCAGCAGCAGCAGCAACAGCAGTATGGCGAGGTGAACCAGCTCGGCGGCGTGTTCGTCAATGGGAGGCCGTTGCCCAACGCGGTCCGAGTGCGCATCGTCGAACTGGCCCGCGTTGGCATCCGACCGTGTGACATCAGCCGTCAGCTGCGTGTCTCGCACGGGTGCGTGTCCAAGATCTTGGCCAGGTACCACGAGACGGGCAGCGTGTTGCCTGGCGCTATCGGGGGTAGTAAGCCCCGGGTGACTACACCCAGGGTGGTGGCGTACATTGGCCGGTTGAAGCGCAAAGACCCGGGCGTGTTCGCGTGGGAGATTCGGGACCGTCTGCTCGCCGACGGCGTTTGTGACAAGTTCAACGTGCCCAGCGTGTCAAGCATCAGCCGGATACTGCGCAACAAGATCGGATCTGCGGGGCCGAACCAGAGTGCGGTGTCTCAGCAACCCACTGCTGCCATGACCGGTGGCGGAGGCCTCTCCCCGACGACCGCCGCAGCGGCACACCACATGTACGGCCCGTACCATCACCACCATCATCACCACCCGTCCACATCACCGTCAGCCGTAACCGCTGGCTATCAGCTGCACCACCCCCAACACGGCCAATATCACCACCAACACCACCAGCTCTACCACAACCATCACTACCAACAGCACCAACACCTCTG